TCCAAGGAAGGCATAGTACCCAATATGTCACTTGGATGCGGTCATGTAGGGTAATGAACAAGGAAGAACTTCACAGAAATCCTGAACCTTAGAAGACAATGACTTAAAAATAACTGACTCAGGAGTTATCAATGGGTCAATCATGACACATCCTCCACTGAGGGGTAAGGAAGGACCTGCTTGCAGTCCTGCCTCATGAGAGTTTCTATGAGATTGGTTCAGTGATTGGAGTATATACATCCCTCAACTTTCCTTTATTCAGTAGCATCCTTTACTCATCCTAGCTTTGTATTTCCACATTTGTTAGTACCAAGGAAGGAAGAAACCGAAGTTTAGTTTATTAGTGAGTGCCTATAAGGAGTCAAAGACCTAATGAGAACTGTCGATTCTCAGAGCTTGAACTAATAATGAGGCTTTATGGGGACAGATCAAGCTCACTTACTTGCTAAGGGAGAAGTACTTTGTGTGGGAGGAAGAAATTTGCAGGGCAAATTGGTAGAAGCTAATAGTTTTCTAGACTTTGTACAGTGATGAATTTGTACCTGGTTGCCTATATGGACTGCATTTCCCAGTGGTTCACAATTATAGCATGGAAAAATTCTCAGTAATGCCATGTGATTAGAAATGATAGATGTCAGGGACTTCAGGCCTTCATGTTCTCTTTCCCAGCTAGAACTCATATATGATGACAACCCTGTCTGGATCACACAGATAATGATGATGATAATGATAATGATGCTGATGGTGCTGATGGTGGTGGTGGTGGTGGTGGTGTCCTAGGAGATGCAAGAAGGCCTGGGAAGGAATCATAATCCCTACATGACTTCAAGAAAAGGTTGTCAATATGGACTGTTTACACTGAGAATATTCTCTAGAGGAAAAAAAAAACTTTAATAAGCTTGTTCATTTGTTTATTTATTATTCTGTGGTACAACAATCAAACCAGAAGCTCACACGCTGAGCAAGCACTCTACCACTTGAGCTATGTCCACTTGACCACATTCCCAGACATGGTTTTTCTGTGGCTGTACCACCATTCACAGGTTGCTGACAGAAATGCATCTCTTCTAACATTCTGGACCTGTGGCAGAAAAGCCTTGGGGAAAATATCTTGCATGCATGTGTATATAGTACATGAGTTGCAGGATAAGAAAAATATATACTCTTTGTTCAGGGCACAGAGCTCCTAAAGCCATTGAAGTTCCTTAAGTCATAGGAAAGTCCTTTGTTCTTCTGAACAAATCCCTTTGGATGACAGCACCAGTGGTTATGATAATGAGGTTACTGTGAGGATTGCCCTAGATTTTCACCTTAAGAAAAGCAAACCGAGGTTGGGCATGAAGTGATGTGAATTATGTCCAAAAGGTTCTGAGAGCTTTAGAGTTGGTGACCATTTGTAAATTTGGGAAGGGTAGGATGCTGGGGAAGAGCTGGCAAATTCCTGCTTCTATTCCTTCCTCTTTACTCTTCTACTTGGTTGTTCCTGGGTTCTGTGAGTCATTCTAGTGAACTATTTGACCTGTGAGAGCATTGGTGTGAACTCTAAATTTAGTCACTTAGTCAGAGGCACAAGGTATTTGCTGAGCCTTACATCTGGTATCTCAAATGGGAGCAGATTTGCGATACTGATCCTGTGGGATCTATGTTCCCTCTGGATGATGAATTTTGAATTTCTGGACACACCCCTAATGTTAGAGGTACAAAGAATCGGTGGAGAAAGCTCTCACGCATTTCGTGTCAGAAGGGGCAGCAGACAAAAAAGAACATAGAAACTTCGGCCAACACACAGCGTGGAGTAAATGGGACTCTAGTATTTCACATAAACATTTCAGCTTTATTCCTGAAAGGACTATCAATGACGACATCCACCTCAGGCACCTCAATTCTGTCAAAGTAGCTGAGACACTCCAGACTGCTACTAATGCCAACTTAAGGAAATATTAAGTCAGATTTTTTCAACCTCACAAGAATGGTTGAAAAACATAAATATAAGCAGCTGTACATTCTACTTGGAAAGATCAAACCATCCTAAGAAGTTTACTGATAGGTAATCACAAACCCTAGGCACAACACTCTAGGCTGCATACATGAGCAGAGACAAAAGTTGGGTTTCCAGGAGAGCTTCTGTAGAACAATGAAGCTCCTACCCCTTCCCATGCAGGCAGCCACCAGTTCTCACCACTCCCTGCTCCCTCCCACTCCAACCACACTGCAAGTCCAAGGAATAGCGATTTCAGGATTCTGAAATACCACTTTAGGTTTCAGAATGTGAACAAGGCCTAAGCTAGTGACAGCGGAGATATTTTTCTTTGGATGAAAGACTAATATTTTGGGTTACATTGGACGGGGCTTTTTGATAGTTAATATTAGTTAATGGTCATTTTTATTTTTAGGTGATCATAAAAGCCTAGAGATCTACCTCTGTTATTATCAATGGAAAAAAAAGAAGTATTCAACAACATTTAAAAAGCAACAGAGAGAGTTAGGGGGTAAGTAGCTCTATGCTAGAGCATGGGCTTAGCAAGTACAAGGCCTTGCCTTCCAGTCTCACCATTACCACCATCAAAGCAACCACGCAAACACAAACTAGAAAGCATCAGAAAAACTAATCAGGTAGCTGTATCTGCTTGAACTTACTAACAGTGCACTCCACACATGAGGTGAACCAGGTTTGGATGAGTGTCTGTTACCCGGCTGCCATGTTCAGTCAGCCACAAATCACACTGCCATAGCACCCACTTCCGACAGCAATGTGACATGGCAGCAGATCAGTAACACAAACACACTGCCTACTTTTACTCTCTTCAAAGTCACAGAAAAAAAAAAAAAACCTTTGAGTGAGCATCAGAGGCTTGAGACTTAAAAGGCGATGACGAACTAAGGAAAGGAGTCAGAGTTTGTGGGGTTGTTTTTTATTTTTTTGCCAGTCCTGGGGCTTGAACTCAGAGCCTAGGCACTGTTCCTAAGCCTCTTTGTGCTCAAGGCTAGTGCTCTACCACTTAAGCCACAGTACCACTTCTGGCTTTTTCTTTTTGTCAGTTGTGGGGCCTGGGTGCTGTCCCTGATCTCTTCAGCACAAGGCTTGCACTCTACCACTTAAGCCACAGTGCCACTTCCAGTTTTCTGGTGGTTAATTGGAGATAAGAGTCTCATGAATGTTCCTGCCCAAGCTGGCTTTGTACCACAATCTCACATCTCACACTCCTGAGTAGCTAGGATTACAGACCCATCGTTCTTCTGGCGTTTTCTGAGTAGTTTATTGGAGATAGAGTCTCACGGACTTTCCTGCATGGGCTCTTCCAACCACAATCCTAGATCTCAGCCTCCTGAGTATCTAGGATGACATATGTGAGCCACCAGCACCCAGCAGGGAAAGACAATTTAAAGCAATAGGTCTTCCCAGCAAACCAGAGTATTCAAAGAGATGCTCTATGGAGCTACTTTTGGCCTTGAACTGTATAACTCCAGGATTCTTTTGTGTGAGACAAAAGCCTACTTTGTATTGTGCCTAATCCTGTCTGCCACAGTATCTATATTATACTAACTCCTTCAAATAAACAAGGAAAAGACAGCAAGTCTATAGAGAGACAAGCAAAGGAGAGCAAAAATTTCATATAAGGAAGAAATAAAAATGGTCAATAAGTATTTGAGCATTGACTATCCACAATTTTAATTAGAAAGTGTAAATTTGGAAACTGAAATGTCATTTCTCACCAATTGGTTGGCAATTTCTAACCAATTGGAAGAGCCACAGCTCCACTTATGACTCTTTGATGGTTACTTGGAGATAAAAGTATGGCCTTTCCTGTCTGGGCTGGCTTTGAACCATGATTCTCAGATCTCAGCCTCCTAAGTAATTAGGATTATACTGAGCCACAAGCACCTATCCTGGAAAAGTATTTTTGGAGGACACTTTGGAAATAGGCTTGAAAATGTGAAATACATTTGTAGATAAACAAGTGCTCATGTATTCAAGTGCACGGGTGTATGTATGTAACTCTCTAAAGCCAGGTGCTGGTATCTCATATCTGTAACCCTAGTTACTTAGGAGGCTGAGATCTAAGGATTACAGTCTCAAGCCATCCTGGTCAGGAAAGTCCATGAGACTTTTATCTCTAATTAACCACCAAAAAGCCAGAAGTGGAACTAGGACTCAAGTAGTAGAGCACTAGTCTTAAGCACAAAAGCTCAGGGACAGTGCTCAGGCCCTGAGTTCAAGCCCTAGCATCAGCACACATCACACTCACAAACACACACACACACACACACACACACACACACACACACGGTCTAGAAGTATAGATAACTAACTTAACAGTGTTTCTGTTCACAAGAGAGGAAGACCAGGGAATGAAAGGAAGAGGAATGGGCTTTGTTTACAGCAGGACTTTCAGTATGATCATATATTACTTTTTGTAATTCAAATTTTTAAATAAAAAAATCAGTCATACAAGTTTTTAAAAGATTAAAGAGGTATGTAATGTAATCCCATGCACTCATTTTCCTGAAAGAAAGATGTATTAGATAGGGATAATTTACTCAAATTTAAGAAACTCTTGGCAGCTAGATTCTCTTCATACAGGTAAGAGGTTCAGAATTTCATGACTCAATAAAAGGGCTTTCTTAATTGAAAAGAACTTTAAGTATAAGATGATAGTTTATATCTCTGGACATAACTGAATAAGGCTTTCTTTTTATAATTAAATACTAAAAACTATCATAGGAAAAGTATTTCAAAGGTTAGAGAAAGTTCTATTTTTAATCATAATAATAAATTCTATTATTCATTTTTAATCTTTCATTTTGGCAGGCACTGGTTTCAATTTTAATTATTTGCCAAAAAAAATAACCTCAGATTATCCATGCTGATGTATTTGCTTGTTAAGAACCAGAATTCATTAAAAAATACATCTAGTCTTCCAAGAAATCATATATTTCTTTTAAATCTCAAAATTTTAAGCCAAAAGTGGGTCACTGAAAATACAAGGAAACAGTCTTACTTGGTCCTCAAAAGACAGAGCCTGGGCAACATCTCTTGGAAATCCATCAATAACAATGCCCTCTTCATCAGGTATTTGCATCAATTTTTGTTTTATCTCTGTAATTGTTGTTTCCTTATAAAGATAAAAAATAAAACAGCAGAGTTAACCTTAGCACACAAGAAAGTCACTTATATATTTATTTTGAGAATAAAAGCAAATTACACAGCAATACCTGTGGGGCCAATTCTCCATTTGTAATTATCTTGGCAATAAGACTCCATTTCCTATTGCTGCTGGTACTGTGGATCTTCTTTCTCAATAACTCTCCCACTGAAATGTACTGAAATCCATAACGTTCTGCAATTTTTAAACTTTGTGTACCCTTTCCGCTTCCTGGGCCACCTATTATTCAAAACACACAAAATGGTGACCTGATACAATAAACAAGTCCCTCTTACACTACTGTTGTTTATCTGAGCTGAGGATTCTGGAATACCAGAACCAGATAGAGTAGCTGCTCCATCTGTGGAATTCTCAGTGTTACTCCTTTTTTACACTTAAAAAATTGCCTTTACTTGTGCAAACGAGTGTCAATTTAATGTGTCAAGTCATGAGTACAAAGCATCTTGGCCTATGTTACCTCTTCCATTGTTCCCCTGCCTTCTATCTCAGCCCCACACATCTCAAGTTCCATTTTCACATATGCATACTGTTATGATTGTATTCACCCACCATACCTCTCTGCATTCATCTGCTTCCCTCTGACAAAACATATTTCCCAGAGAAGTGCAGACTTAGCTAAGGGTCTTGATCAACTGTATTAGATGGAAGAGACAGTTTTTCTCAATACCTATCTTAAGAAACAACTAACTAAGCCACAGATATAGTTAATTGTTAGAAACATGCGCAAAGCACTGGTTTCACCCCTAGAGCCCCCCCAACACACACCCCAAACACAACAATAAAAAGCCACAATATTCATCACTCTGATTAAAAATGTTTTCAACAATGAAGTTCAAGTTGAAAGAAATGTTGATTATTAAGCTGTGAAAATTCTATAGTTTTCCCCTTGATAATCAAAGAACTATGACTCCCTTTTTAAATTACAAAAGCCAGGATCAAAAAAATAGAAATGTATTTAATATCTCCAAAGAGTTTACAGGTAATTTAGTGAAATGTAACAATTATTTTTAAACCAAGTGCACAATAGTACTGACTGCCACAACTTATTTAAGATGGTTTTTGTAGGGCTAGGAAGGTGGCTCAGTGGTAGAGCGCATGAGGCCCTGGGTTCGATTCCACAGCACCACATAAGCAAAAAGAAAAAAGCCGGAAGTGGCTGTGGCTCAAGTGGTAGAGCGCTAGCCTTGAGCTGAAGAGCTAAGGGACAGCACCCAGGCCCAGAGTTCAGGCCCCACGACCAGACCCCCCCCAAAAAAAGATGGCTTTTGTAAGCTGCTCATACGTTCTTGTTTAAGCACCTTTGAATTCCAATGTTTCATGCTATGATGTGAAGAATGAATGGAATAGGTCCTTAAGGAAAAAAATGCTTCATACAATTGTTTGTGACAGAGTAGCATGAAATAATCAAAATTTTGCCGCACAGCTCAGCATTAATCATTGATAATTGCCATTTACTTCTTTAGAGACACAAAAAGTGATAGTCACAAAAATACTAATATATACCTCAGGTTTTCAATATGAAAATATGATTTTCAAATCACATTAGATAAATTCTTTTTGGTTCAAGTCCTGGGCCTTGACTTCAGGTTAAAGCACTGTCCCTCAGCTTTTTTTGCTCAAGGCTAGTGCTCTACCACTTGAACTACTGCTCCACTTCCTGCTTTTTGGGGGGTGATTACCCAGAGCTAAGTCTCACAGATTTTCAATGCCCAGGTTGGCTTCAGTCTGTGATTCTCACATCCCTGCCTGGGCCCATCACATTAGATTAATTTTAGCTAATTTATGTTTCTGAACCAACATAGAGTAGAATCTAGACTTAAATATGTATTATACATAAAATATATAGTTATCTGTCTGGTTGGTAGTTATTTGATGGGAATATCAAAATGAAATATTTTTATAAATAAGCACAAATTACTATATTCAAAGAAAACATTAGAAAGTCTATGTTGAATAAGTGATTGTTTCAGTAACATTCATTTAAATGTAAATATCACTTTATAATACAATAAAAAATTTTCAAAACTCCAAAATCAGAAAAGAAAAAAACCTTGTAAACTGGATGATATTTGAAGATATATATCTTCTCTTAAGATTTTAGTCTATTAAAGTATTTTAGTTTCATGTAAAATTTACAATGCATAAAAATCATACATGTAGTGTCTTACATAAGAGACATTTGTTACTATTCTATCTGCATGGCAATCAAGCTTCTATTTGTACATTACTTTCATGAGAGAAAGGAACCTGGAAGAATGTACTCTGTACACCAACAAGCTATAAAATGGTAAAATAATTCCAATTTTATTTTTACCTATGGACATCCTTTAATTATTTCCTTGTCTCCTAGGGAAGGACCACCAATTTTTAGACAAGGAAGCATTTCATTTTCCAGAGTAGAGATGTTTGACATAGTAGGGGCTATCATTAGCCAGAAGAATATTTCAAGTTTTTTAAATCTGATTTACATCTGCTTTTTTGTTCTGCTTGTTCTTGATTACTAGTAATCAAATCTAGTGCCTTGTATTTTGGTTGCCAAGCACTCTACCACTGAACTATATCCCCAGTTCCTCAAAAGGTGATTTCTATACTCTTTCTGCAATATTCTTTTTAATAATTCATGGTTGTATGCATATTTGTAATGTGATTTTCATCTCACTTGGAAATGTTCAAATTCCATTCTCAGTTGCTTTTTTGCTCACATTTTCCCTAGCTGCCAGCTTGACTATGTCCTCCAGAGCAGTACTTTTGTGCATGGTGGCCGTAGACATTTGGTCCTCTATTCACAGTAACTGGTTAGAATCTTTGGAACATTTATGCTAAATATTTCTTTGGGTTATTTCATGAAAGCTCAAACTGGAAAAATGAGACAATGATTACATATATTGCATGTCCTCAGACCTTTTCACAAATATATGTTTGAGAAAGTTAAAATTCACAAAAATGATCAATAAATGATTTTATAAAATTACTCAAAACAATTTTGGTACCTATTCCTTATGAAATAGAAATAGACTGATATCATCCACAAAAGAAGATTCATAATGACAATTTAAAAAAGTAAATTTTATCTTTGTCATTTTGGTGAATAATCAGATGTTACACAGTTATTTAAAATATTCTCTTATATTTGCTTATCTGATAATATGGGAACAGATTTTATTATAGGTCCTAATGTACCATAAGGAAGATTCATTTACATGAATGTTTACCAATATATGGGTATTTTTGCCTCTAAAGTTAATAGTGAGAAAAATTCAATTTGGTGAATAAAAAGGAAATAACTCCTGTTTAGAAAACATTTAATGGACCTACTTAGCTATATTAAAGTTTAAATAAACGAAGCCAAAGAACAGCAGATCTTGAAGTGATTACTTTCAATTCATTATAGGGAATTTTTATGACATTGTAATGGAGACTATGAAAAACATAACATTAGATTACTTAATTAAAATAAGTTCCATTTTTATTGAAAATTATCCTAAAATATTTCTATTTTCTTTGTCGTGCTATTTTTTCTATTCCCTTTCTGCTCCTTATCCAACTAAGCATTTGCAAAGTATGATATGCACTGAAATTTCTGAAATGTAAACACATAAAAGTTAGCAATGGTAGAGGATTTTGTTTCCTGCTGTCGTACCTATAACAAGAATGATCTTTGGTCGTGGTCTAGTAGGATCAAAAACCTCGTACTCTTCAATTAACTCTGCAGTCTCGGAGAGATCTGTGTCACTCTCTATGGAGAACTGGTGGATTGGAGGGAGCCGGTCATACCGTCGATAGGGAAAGTTTGAATTTTCAGGCATTACTGTGAGAGAGTAAGATAAACTTTGAAAAGGAAAAAAAAAGACACAGTAAAACACTTCACATTTAACCAATTCGTATAAGAAATTTAATGAGTTTGATCTTTCTTTTTAATTGGAAGAAGACTTAGTAAGTGGCCAGCTTTTTTTGTGGGGGAGGAGGATGGCTTGCAGTTGGTAGGCTGGGGATCCCAAAGAGCTATGCCTCCATTCCTCCAGGCTTTTGAGATTGGGTCTCATTCCTTTCTCTAGGCCCACTTGTAATCCATCACTCACTTATTTCTGAAGCATGTCCATTTTAAGCTTCTATTTATAGTTAGGGTAACAGGCACATGCGGATACATCCAGCTTCTTTTGTTGAGATGAAGTCTTGCCAACTTTTCTACCTGAGTCATCCTGGATTTCAGCCTCCCACGAATATGGCTACAGACAAGCGGTGATTTGCTCAGCTATGGGTTAAGAAGAGGTCTTACATATATACTGGGGTTGGCCTCCAACGATGTGTGGAAAGGTACTAGCAATGTTACTCTGCACTGTCTTGAAATTTAATCATTTTACCCAACACAAGACAAGACTTCAGAGTTATCCTCAATTACTTTCTTCCCTTACTTCTCACATCTGTTCTTGCAGTCTTTATCATGGAAAATTATTCCAAATGTATAGTGTATTGTCCATCTCCACTGTTACAAATATTTCCCCGAGGTACCATCATATTTTATCTGGATTGCTGAACTCACATTTTATTGGTCTACCTGCTTCCATGTTTGTTCCCACAATCTACTGAAATGGTCTTCCCTTGTTGGTCCTAGCTGACTGCCACCTAGTGAATTGCAAGAACATCCCTCTACTGCTCTGCACAGTTGTCACTTCAATATCTGAGAGCTTTATCATTCATTCAAACGTTCTTCATTTGTTCACTCATTCATTTTATCTCTTTTCTCCTACTAGATTTTAAGTTCTATAAAAGCCGGAATTTCACCTGTCATTCAGAACTCTGCATCCCTGTCATCTAACACTGTGCCAGGCCAATGGCCAGAGTTCAACAAATACCTGTTGAATTACTAACAAATAGAATGCCTTTCCTGAAGGAAAAAATAAAATGTGTGGGCAGAACATGGAAACAATGTGAAGAGATTAATAAACCAGGGTAAAAGCATTCATTTTCATATGCTGTAAATCTAGTGGGTAATTTTGGGGGTTGGAGAAGTAACATGGCATTATGCTTTTTTTTTGCTAGTCCTGGGGCTTGAACTCAGGGCCTAGGTACCTGAGCTTCTTTTGCTCAAGGCTAGCACTCTACCACTTAAGCCACAGCACCACTTCCAGCTTTCTCTATTTATATGATACTGAAGAATCAAACCCAGGGCTTTGTGCATGCTAGGAAATACTCTACCACTAAGCTATATTCCCAGACTGACATTACACATTTTTCAGGAAAATTAATATGGTGATGGCTAGTAAGGGTTTGAATAGGAGAAGCCTGAGAGAAGCAAGAAGAGCAGCTAGCAGGTAGTTAAAACAATCAACATGGGAGAAATAAAATCTTGGACTAGAACAATAGCTGGGAAATGGAAAGAAATGGATAGTGTAAAATACTTGGTTAGGGCTGGAATACAAAAATGAAAGTGAAGTAGGTGATACTTTACAAGGTCCACATGTCAAATCTAAAGGAGTAAGGACCACACTACATTTTATATATAGTACCTTTCTGTCTTCTTTTCTCTGTTCCAGGTTTATTATTATTATTATTATTATTATCTTACTTTGGTCACAAACCACTCACTCATAGCTCTCATTGAGCTACTGATTAAGTTTTTAAGGCCTGATTTCATTGCTGGCCTGTGCTTTTCCTGAGAACAGTGCCATGTCAGTTCTTTCTTGATGGCTCCAATCTCAGCTGAAAAAGAGTATCTGTCACATAACAGTACTCAAGAAATGGTTATGTTATGGCTCAACAGACTCATTGACTGACTTTATGAAAACAAGAAAGTGAGAAGTGAGTGATGGTTTTGAGACAAATTTGTTGTATTTGGTTTCTGACATGTATATAGGATGGCCAAGAGATACTCCAGAAGAATAACTCTAAGTATGTTTGAGATTGGAACTTTTAGTTCACTGGTAACTATATATTCAGTGTGTACACCTAACAGGGACAAATTATGTTTATCTCATACCTCATATTTAAGGGTTTTAACAACTGGCAACCAGTAATTTATATTTTAATTTAAGAAAGTAATTTGTTTGGGTGATAAAAACTGTTTGTGTTGTAGGATAATTTCTCAGGATAATTATATGTTAGCATACCTAGGTCAATATTTTTGTAAAAACTCACAAATGATTCCAGTTCTAATCATTTTAAGTTACTGGGCACTTAGGCATTCTGTTAAATTTAATAATCTATTCCATAATTACAGTTAAAACCTACAAAGCATGAATATGTAAAGCATTTCATAAAATAAAATGGTTATTATGGGATATTTGGTTTAGAAAACAGTTTCCATGTTTTAGCAAATATTGCAGATATTAGATACTAGGGTGTAACATTCTTGTCACCTAGTATATGAGAAGGCTCTAATGATGAATGAAAGGACCCTTGTCTGAAAATCTAACACTGGAAGATATGGAAACCCTGAAGCTAACAAGCAATATTCCCTCCCTCCTTCCCTCCCTCCCTCCCTCCTTCCCTTCCTTCTTTCCTTCTTCCCTTCCTTCCTTCCTTCCTTTTTGTCAGTCATAGTGCTTAAACTCAGGGCTTGGACCCTGTCGCTGAGCTTTTCTGCTCAAGGCTAACAATCTATCACTTGGAACCATAGCACCATTTCCGGTTTTCTGGTGGTTAATTGGATATAAGAGTCTCAGGGACCTTCCTGGCTTAGAATCATGATCCTGCCTCCTGAGTAGCTAGGATTACAAGAGAGAGCTATCAGAACCCAGCAGCAATTTCATTTCTGTTTATTTGCTTAACCTTTCCCCAAAATTTGTACTTGACTTCTTTTAGATAATAACTGTTCTCTTCATTTCTGCTCTTTGGTTTGGCTACAGTCCTTACCAATCCCTAATATCTATCTATCTATCTATCTATCTATCTATCTATCTATCTATCTATCTATCTATCTATCTATCTATCTATCTATCTATCTGTCTATCTATCTATCTAGTTTTTCCTGGTTTCCATGTATTATAAAACCAAGCAATGGTATCAAGCTTTAATTTTGTTGTCCACAGTCACTGTCTACAGCTAATCTAAGAGTAGCTTATCAACTAATTGAATGCCATCACTCCTTAAGATTCCATTTTCAAAAATGAAAAATTTCTGAGACCAAATCCACTAACGTCTGATGTTCATTAGTGTTTCAAGTCTTAGACAACACTGTCCCATATTGATCTCACTTAATATAACAAGGATATGAAGTATGTTTTTTAACAGTGACTGGGATTCTAACCACATGGTAACATCTCATGAAGTAAGATGGCCATTTGGAGGAGATATATGAACTTAACAAGATCACTAAAGATCATTTTGTTCATCAAAAAAGCAGAAATGTGCAAAGACATGAGATACAGAAGTAACTAAAGTTATTCTAGTGACAGTAATCCACTGGATACCAAATCTAAGTTCTGTCAACTCAGCTTGAGTCAGAGCCCTGAGCTCCAATTCTGACCACTCAATACTCTGTGTATTTTAGGCTTTTCTCAAAAACCCCTTGATTTACAAAGAGTGAAATTTTCAACTTGGACAGTTCCAAATCATTATCCTGTTACTGGGTCTCTAAGTACACTGTATGGGAAAAGTAAAAATCTCTTTAGAATTGGATTTGTTCTAAGGGTCAAATCCAAATATTTGGTGCAAATTCAATTTTATAAGTACTTACAGATGTGACATGGCTTATTATTTATAAGTGATACTTTAAAATCTAAGATAGAGTGATTCATCTTGTAAGTAATGAGATCAACTGCTCTCTAAAACAAAGAACAGTAATCTTATTACCCTATGGTCACACTAAATGTTTTTAAATTATTTCTCAGCTGTTCACATGTCAGAACATATGCATTTTGAAGTAGCAATTCCATATATCTGGGTTATTTGTTACCAACCATATATAACAGTATGACATGTGAGTACCTAAACCTAAATCACTTTTCACTCCTGCTTGAATAAGGAAGAACTCTTCTCCAATCTGGAGATAGTTTTGGCATTTCTATTTTCCCTTTTCTTGAGCATCTTACAAATGAGCACTTCATGACTTTTTTCCTACACCACATTCAAATAAATTCTATGTGGGTTCATAACTGATATTTATTGCAAAGAGAATTGTCTCCTCTTCAAATTCTTCTGGAACAGATGACACTTGTGTGGTTCATTTTTGAGAATGGTTTTAATTTTGAAAGTATAATGCCCTTCAGCCACCAGAACAAGAAACTTAGTTTCCTCTTATTGGAATTGAGTCTGAGTCTAGTTTTTATTTTTTAAATCGATTTTAGTTCTATCTATCTATCTATCTATCTATCTATCTATCTATCTATCTATCTATCTATCTATCTATCTATCTATCTATCTATCTACTTACCTACCCACCTACCTATCTAGCTATTTATTCATTTTGATGCCAGTCCTGGGACTTGGCTAGTTCTGGGGCTTGAACTCACACACTGGACACTATCCCTGAGCTTTTGTGCTCAAGTCTTGCACTCTACCAGTAGAGTCACAGCTCCATTTCTGTCTCTTTTTTTTGGTGGTTAAGTGGAGATAAGAGTCCCACAGACTTTCCTGACTGGGCTGGCTTTGAATCATAATCTTCAGATCTTAGCCTCCTGAGTAGCTAGAATCACAGGCATAAGCCACCAAAACCCAGCTTATTTATTATATTATTATTTTTTGTTATCCTTAAGTAGTTGTACAAAAAGAAGTTGAGTCTATCTTTTACATACTATTATATTTCACACCTTTATGTAGAACTTGAAAGGCTGGTTGGCTCTCAACATTGTGGCATATATTGATAAGCACATATGACAAACATGTATTTCAGAGAGACATCAAAATATCTGGAGTTTTTTCTAACAAACTCTAGCTCTTAGTTCTAAACTACTCCTAAAATTTAAATAAGTTTACTTTATACATATATATTTTTTGTCAGTTGTGGGTCTTGAACTCTGGGCTTGGGCACTGCTATTGAGCTCTTCAGCTTAAGACAAGTGCTCTATCACTTAAGCCACAGCACCACTTCTGGTTTTCTGGTGGTTAAATGGAGATAAGAGTCTCACAGACTTTCCTGCCTGGGATGGCTTTGAACCGTGATCCTCAGATCTCAACCTCCCGAGTAGCTAGGATTACAGGGGTGAGCCACCAGCGCCCAGTTGTATTTCTTGTATTTCTTTTATAGTACTCAAATGCAGATTCGAATATATTCAATAGTTGTATAATGAATAGTTATTGAATTAAGTAAACTTTATATGAATTTGTGTAATTTCATTAATATGAACTCTGGACTTGGAAACATTAAATCAAATCTCTAGTCAATGAAAAATGTTGAATTATAATGTAATAACTACCAATTTAGTCTTTATTCTATCTGTGTATTTGGAAAAGGATTATTTGCAATTTAAAAATAAAGTCAAGATGTTTAACGCAATTCATTTTGCAAATAATGAATTCAGTAATAGATAATTTCATTAAGTCTTTAGCAAATTGCTGGACAATGGTATGTAATTTCGTTTGTCTTATGGATCATGGAAGTGATTAGAATTAGTAACAGAAAGAGATTAGTTATATTCCAAGGCCTCAAATTTTTCTAGGCATGTATAAACCCAATCAATTAAATCACTCTCTACATTCTACAAGATATTTCTATAAGACAATTATTTCACCTATCAAGTTGTGTTATTCTATACATACATTACCATTTCTTAGAAAGGATCTCCGAGACTGGCCTCCATTTAGCGGAGGTAAGGTCTTCTTTTCCTGGCTGACAAATGTATCCCACTTCACCTTATCACAGCCACCCATTTCCTTTACTTTCTGCAAACAGCTTTCCAAGTACTCCACTGGGTCTTCAGGCTTAGAACACATCAGTCCATTCAAAAGGCTCTGAAATACAATGAAGTACATAGAAGTACAATATGTTTTGATGTACTACTGTCTTGTTTCTAAATCCTCAGTTATTTTTGTCTTTTGCATCTCCCTCTCTGTCTTTCTCGCTGTCTCTTTTATGCCAGTCTTGGGGCTTTTTTTGATCAAGGCTAGTGCTCTACCTCTTGAACCACAGGTCTACTTCTGCCCCTTAAAACATTATTTTATTACCTGTAAGGAGGTATACAAAGGAGTTGCCACTTAGCGAAGCAGTTTATGAATGCATTGCATCTTGATCGATGTCACCCCTTTCAACATTCTCATACAGACCACCTTACTCCTTCCTTCCCTCGCTCTTCTTAACTTTGTAGGATATACATAGCATTCTTGACTGAATTTTCCCCTACTTCTCTTCATTCAACTACCTCTTTCCCTAAGGAACCGTGAAATTTATGTTCTTTCTTGAATCTACCATATTTCACCTAATACATTCACTTTTCAACTTTTGCTGGTTAATTAGAGATTAGTTCCATGGTAAGGAGAAACAAAGGAGGAGGCAACAATGCATGATAAGAAATGTACTCATTACCTTGCTCATGTAATTGTAACCCCTGTATGGTATTTTCACAATTTAAAAAACTTCTTAATATTAAAAAAAGAGTTTCATGGACTTTCTTGACTGGGCTCACCTTGAACCTTGATGTTCAAATCTTAGCCTCCTGAGTAGCTAGGATTACAGGTGTGAACCATGGGCACACAGATTCATTTGTCTATTAAAAGACAATTAGAACTGAAATTATGAGACAATAGAGCAAAGGAAGATAATCCTTTGAATTCCTTACCAGTTTGTTTTCAACTCAACACTCTCCACTTTAAAACAACAGGCAACTATATAAAGTAGAACAGCCCTACCAAGGAAAGGTTAAAAAAAAATACAGCATATGAAAATGTCCCTAGTCTCTTTTTCTCTCAGTCCCACTCATCCTTAAATTCTCTAAGTTTATTTCTTCTGTGAAACAAGGCTTTAAAAAATTTAAAATACAGCTGGGTGCCAATAGCTCACGCCTGTAATCCTAGCTACTCAGGAGGCTGAGATCTGAGGCTCGCGGTTCAAAGCTAGCCCGGGCAGGAAAGTCCATGAGACTCTTATCTTCAATAAACCACTAGAAAACCAGAAGTGGTGCTGTGGCTCAAGTGGTAGATCATTTGCCTTGAACTTAAGAGCTGAAGGACAGTGCCCAGGCCCAGACCACCACCAACAACAACAACAAAATTAAACTACTTAATACTTGCATAGGGCAAATTAGGAGCTTCACATGTCCTAGTATTTAACTGATGTTGTTTAGTTTTGTTTATTGTTATTTAGTTGTTTGTTTTAGTTATTATTATTGCTATTGTGACCATAAAGTCTCCCCCGAACCCCTGCATCTGTCTGCAGGCCCCTCTATTATGTTCCCTGGTACCCAGAATAAAACATCACACTAGTCATATATGTTGAATGCATCAGTTTTGGTGTCAGTCTTTGTGTCCGAACTCAGCGGTACAGATTTAATTTTCAATCTCAAGTACCTAATACTTTTCTTGGTATATTAAACTGTTTTTTGATTAAGACAAAAAAACTAAAATAATTCAAGTCTGAGTGAGACTACAAAAACTGCAGCTTGAGACTCAAAAAATAATCTATGATATTTAACAGATCACTATAACATCCATTGAGATTAAAGAGAAACAAGTATTATCCTGCTATGACGCTTTCTATTTGTGGTGTCTGATGTGTCACGTGTAGTGGTTTCTAAAAATGCTAAAAGTTTGGAAATGCTGACTCGTGGGAAGTAGACAAAATTGAAAAGTATCTTCCTTCAGAGGTTTTCATGGAGAAAGCACAAGCACAGAAAATTATCATCAAGAATATATATTATGAATGTATAAGTCATATACACCCTCTGAAAGGTTGACATCTTTTTAAAATACCATATTTTATTTTCAAATTAATTTGAAATTAATTAATAAAATTAATTTGAAAATAAAATACCATTTTCATACAATTTTCCCAGAATGGCAAGCAATTCCTACTATACATTTATCTCTTAAAACCTTTAATCAGATAATGTGTAACTCTATCAGAAAAGTTTAATTGCTGAAGGAGAAGAAAAGGCTGAGTGGGGGATGCACATCTGGTTTGTGTTTACCTTCCCACACTCCTCTAGTACACAAGGCCAGAACTGAGTGTTTCATGGGCATTCGTTTACCAAATGCATGCTCAACATTATTATCACATTTTAGAGACTAACAGCTCAGAGCTGTTACTGATTTATTCAAGGTTACTCAGCTAAATGCTTCTAGGTTCAGGATTCCAGTTTCTGAACCTAGTATAAGATAAAAGAAAATGCCAGCTTCTCTGGGCTCCATGTACAATCTAACTTCAATATGAACCTCTTAAAATTACTTTTTTTTTTTTACTTTTGCCTTTTGAATTCACTTAAATGGAAGGTTTTCTGACTGGCAAATATACATTTCCAGACTCGCAAAGCAAAACATATTTCCTAAAGGATGTGTATATGCGTATGTATGTATATATACGTGTATGTATTGGGTGTTTTTGAGACAGAATCTTGCTATGTTACCCAGGCTGGCCTGGAATTCATGATCTTCCTGCTTCAGCCTCACAAGTATTGGGACAACACCAAGGTTGGACAGTGAGCTGGACAAGGAACAATGATTTCCATTCCTGCATGGATAATTTAAGTCCTTTTTTTGTGGTAACAATCTATATCAGGGACTAAGATACCCAGGACTCTGTTTTTGAGGTAGTTTGGGGATTTGACACCTATCCCTGTTAGACTTCATGTTATCTAAGATGTTGTGGTTTTGGTGGCGACAATCTGGTTTAAAAACTTCAAGTCTTTGGTTTTGTTGTTTGTACTAGCTCATGGAGAATCACCTGATTTTTCTTTCCTTCTGTATTGTACAGAACATAGAGTTGTCATACTGGAAGGGAAGGGTGGAGCTTCTGGGGTCACCAGCATGCTCCTTGTTTTCCTGTTGTCCAGGATTGAGGCTATGATGACTGCATTGCTGCCTTTCACCTAACAAGTGGACTTCCTTTTCTGAGTGTGAAGTACTGTAAAACACCTTGTTCAGGGGCAGAAAAGCTCATAAAACCAGCATAAAACCTCAACAAGAAATTCCTTCTGCCAATATTTATTGCATACACAGTGCAGATTTTCATTAACAAACTATCTAAATTCTCTGTGGTTACCTTCCACCAAAAGAGAAAAGTAGTATCCACATTATGCAGAAAACATGACTACTGTTCAGCAGTATTTTGCACTGATGTTCCTCCCACAGGTGTTCCTAATTATTCTTTTAGCACTGTAGACATAAATTTGATTTCGGTTGCAATATTTCTGATGAAAGAAACAACAACCACCTTTCAGCTCTTCATTTCCATATTTACTTAGGGGAGGAGGAATAACACTTTAAGATTCCCACACATTCCCATTGTCACACTGGAGTAACACACTTGCTAGATTCAGCTTCCCACACCAGGCCTGGTTTACTTGGAAATCTGTGGCTGCACAGAGCCTGGAAACAATGCTTTACATAGGTGAGAGAAACAGAAGATCTGGGAGGAATAACAATCTATTTGAAGAAATCAGGGCAATTTTTCCCCCTCAAATGTTGTCTTCATTTCTTTTGAACAGAAAGAAATCCCCCAAACAGGAAGAACAACTCATGGCCTTTAGTTTATTGTATTAGTCAATAATGTTTCGGACATGAGAGGCCAGGTTTGCAGGGAACGGCCTTCCTCCTTTCAGGGTTCTCCCTAAGAAGCTTGGCTTGATTCCATTCCCACCTTCACCCACCTCCCTCCCCTTTTTGGTAGTTTTGATTTAACCTAAGCAAAACCACTTAGGATTTAGGATTCTTTTTTTTTTCTTTCCAATTTATATACGGAAAGAAAGGAAGCAAAAATCCAAGAAGGAGGCTGCATTTTAGAAGTAACCAAGATTCCTTTAGCTCAACCTTCAAGGTTCCCCTGGCATATTCTGTAAGTGGTGCCTCATCCCTTGGCCGCCTCTGGCCCCGGGCCATAGGAATCCTTATGGCCGATGGTGCTTTATGCTCTGGGGACAGCAACTGGGGTCAACGTTCCAGTCTCCTCAGACCCACTATCTCCAGATGGGTTGCAAAGTGCAGATAAAAAGCTGCAGCCCCAGAGGCAAGCGAGCAAAGCCTGCCAAGACCATGGGGGGAAAACGTGCTCAGGAGTTCATTCACTAAAAGCGCAGAGCAGCTCTGGGTGCCTGCCACCCAGAAGGTTGCGCTGCACTTGATGGGGTGAGATTTGCTTTTTGCTTCTTCATCCCTCTCCCTCAAGCTTCCCAGGGGCGGGAGGGGGAACGGGGTGCAGAGGAGGAGGAGGAGGAGGGTTACTGGCCCCTGCACTTCTTCCCTGCAGGGGTCCGGAATCTGGGTGAGGAGAGAGACTGAAACTCCAGACTCTAATTTCTAGTTCAGGTTCCATGCTGGGTGACCGTGCGGTCACCTGGCCTGACCCTCACTTCCCCACTCCCTCTCCCAAATGAAAAAAAGCGCCTCCAGATCACTGTCTGCACCCCACCCTGGGTGCCCAGCATCTGAGAGGGGAGCTGGGGGCAGCCTGTTCCCAGAATCCTGTTTGGAGATGGAAAGTTCCTCGGGACGTCTGAGCCCAGCGATCCGGCCAGGACCCCGGTGATCCGCCGCTTGGCTACTCCCCTCGGCGGAGCCGACCTGCGGGCTTCCCGCGTGGGGACGGGGAAGACGGGACGGGGCGCAACCGCCTCACCTCGAGGTCGGAGATTCCCGCCCCAGATCCTCCAGCCCACCCTGCAGTCCAGGCTCCGTACCTCGAAAAGCTGAGGGATTTCCCTCCGGGCCAGATACTCCTTGGCGTCGTTGGTGTTCATGACTGTGCCGCGCGCGCCCCGGGGAGCCTGCCTGGCAGCGATCGGGGTTCGGGCTCCGTCGCAGCCCTGACTCCAAAGCGCAAACACCGTGCCTCCTCTCACTGCCCAGGCCGGGGAACCTCCGCCTCTCCCCGGGGCTCTGGGCTCGGCGCTCCCGCCGCCTCCTCTGGGCTGCTGGTCCCCGCGCCCGAGCTGCGGGCTCCGAGCTGCCGCGCGCGGCGATTGCCAGGGGAGGGGCGCCGGGAGCGGAGGAGGGGGCACTGCGCGGCGGACGTCAGGCAGCTGCCCGCGCGCGGGTCCGCCCGCCCGCCCGCCCGCCCGCCCTCCTCCGGCTCCGCGCACCGCGCTCCGCGCTTCCCCGAGCCAGGTCTGCGGCGGCCAGTCACGCTGCGCGGGCGGGCGCGGGGTGCGGGGGTGGAACGGGAACGCGCGGGGCGGAGGGGGGGGGGACTCCGAGTCACACCGCTCCCCGGTGGGCCGCACTCCCCTCTCGAGCGCCACCCAGGGGACGCAGCCACCCAGGGACGAGGTGGCCTGGGCCACTAGGTCGGGAGCTCTTGGCATCTGAGATGGTTTTTTCACTTCTTCATATCTGTTCAAACTCTATCTGTCCTCCCCCCTCCTTCTCTCTCTCTCTCTCTCTCTCTCTCTCTCTCTCTCTCTCTCTCTCTCTCTCTCTCTCTCCTCTCTCTCTCTCTTTCTCTCCTCTCCAGTCACCCCCAATCCTCAAGGAGCTGGCTGAGTGTAGAGGTGGGTGGAGGGGGTAACCTGACAGTCACAGAATCCATCATTCATTCCTAAAATTATTGATGGGAATTCCAGTGATGTTAAACGGCGGAGAGGGAAAATAGAAAATTCCTGGTTCAGAATTCACAGACACACACACACACACACACACACACACAGAGAGAGAAAATAATTTCATAATTCGAATATCGCTTTCCTTCGAGAAAGTTTGCTAGCTCGTTTCGGAAAAGGTTTTCCCCACCCTATCACAAATTCGTACACATTTCCCGGTAAGGACTTAGAATGAACCCGAAATCAGTCAAATAATTATTTCGGCCCAGATGAATGAGAAGGGAGAGGTGGTGGACTCTGCTTAATTGAATAGTGATTGAAAATCTGTAGTAGATGCCCAGCAGGTTATCAGCTCCTGTGGGGGACTGGGGGAGGCAGCATTTGAGGGACCATGAGGGGAGGGGACGAAAGCTTAATGGATAACGATAGATCTTCCTGTTGCAGACCATCAGGAAAGTGTACCTGTCAGTCTCCCAGCTCCTAATATGAGTCATCGCCCAAATTAAGAAGAGAAGATCCAGCCCCCCTTGGGAATACAAGCTCCAGCACACGCCCCGCCCCCTGACACTGTGGGAGGATGTGTGAAGAAAAGGATACTCAGCTAAGCATCTGGTGTCTGATGGAAGGCAACACAACATTGCTTCAAAAAAAAAATCAAAATCTGAATGTCTGTGTCATCTCCATACTCCTTTTCTTAGTTCAATTTCCTGTCACACACACTGGGCTATAGCTACAGTTTTGTTTTGCCTAAGGAGGGAACTCAGTGTTAATTAGTTTTGTAAAGACTTGTGTCATATGGCCATGTGCTATAACCATGTGTCATGCAAGAGTCTTCAATGAGGCAGGCATTCCAGTGCCATGAAATTTGATGTGTGCCTTTAGAATATGCCTTATCACTTAAAGTCCCAGCTTCCATTTCTTTACCTTCTTTAAGAACATACTATGAAAACAGTTTCTTGCCTATGTACCTATATATGAGAAGTCCCAGGCTTGATGGCTGGAAGGCTTAGTCAGCTGGCCCAGAGAGGTGAAGCAACTAGAACTGAAGTGATGATTTCTGATGGTCTTCCTGTAAACTACTTCAAGGTCATTCTTTTCAGAGAATGTGGTTAGAATACTGTTCATATCTCTAGTCTCTTGCTCCTGGGCTTTTTAAATGGGTAGATTCTAAGTGCTCTTTAGTAACCTGGTAAATAATAGCAACTTGCTTATAAAAAATGGTTAAGAAAGACTGCATTACACTGAAAATTGTAGAGAATATGAAAGACAGTACAAGACAAGGAAGTTTTCCCCTTAATTACTGTGTGTGTGTGTGTGTGTGTGTGTGTGTGTGTGTGTTCAAGTGTGAGCACTGGAGTACTAGGGCTTGAACTTGGGTCTCTTGCTCTTGCTTAGCTTTTTGGCTCAAGGCTGGTACTTTACCATTTTGGGGTTTTTGTTGGTTTGTTGAAATAGTCTTGGGGATTTTTCTGCCCCTGCCCACACAGTCCTCAGATCTCGGCCTCCTGAGTAGCTAGGTTTACAGGTGCCTAGGTGCTGTCCTTTAGTTTTCTTTGTTCAGTGAGGGGGTTCTACCACTTGAACCACAGCTTCATTTCCAGCTTTTGTGCGTGTGTGGTTATTTGGCAATAATAGTCTCACTGGCTTTTCTGCCTGGGCTGGCTTGGTACTGGGATCTTCAGGTCCCAGCCTGCTGAGTAGCTAGGATTACATGTATGGGCCACCAGTGCCTGGCTTTCTATTACCTTGGGGGGGGGGGGGGGAGAGAAACACCAGGCTGATGGTTTGGAGAGGAGAAAGAAGAGGCAAAAAAAAAAAACCTAAATACATCTTTCTTAAAAGAAGTTGTCCTATCGTTCTTTCAAATAGAAGTCTAAGGTGTTACATATAATACACACACACACACACACACACACACACACACACACACACATATAAAGGGACCATTTATTTGGAGGTAAATTTCCTGAAAATTTTATCAAATTGACAAGTTAACTTCTTGTCTGCTGTACATCTTAAAAATTAGCACACAGATAAAATCTAAGTGAGTCATGACCAAGTAAAATTAAAGATTTGTTTCTGCCTTACATTTACTACGAATAGAACTTAAATTTTATGGGTATGGGTACAACTTTTTGTGGTTCAGTTTTTGAGAAAGTTTTGAAAATGCACTGATGCAGGCCACTAAGGAAAAATTGATCAAAATTTCTCTTTTGATCACATTCTAGGAGATAGGGTAGGGTTCTGAGATATGTAAGTGATTAATATGCACATGACCCCTACAGCCAAATTGCTTACGTTCCGCTGGAAATCTTTAAGAAATGCTGATGGTCAATAAGCAGATAAGAATGTATAAACAACATCAACTACTGAAAAAGTAAAGGGCAGATAAGCAATGGAAATATTTTTAAAAAATGACAAAGCAAAAACTTATCAGTGACTAATAAACGTGATCAATAAAATCAAGTAACATTTCTGATCTGAAGCAAGAGGGAAGAGGGTCCAGATCTGTTGTGTGGGAGTGGCAGAAAAAGTAGCAGACAAAGTGGGAGCAAGGTTAACTACTAGATGACAACTGAGACAAAGAACCAGGCATCCTTAAAAAGGAGGTTCTAGTGATAGCATTTCCCTGAGTCATTCCTAAGGGAACCTTACTGCTGACACACAGGCCAGGTCTTCTCAATGACACTCATTCAAATGTGTGTGCATTGGGGCCATTCTTTCTAACTACAGAGAGAAGGTTGAGGGCTGTGTATCCAGAAGAGCAGTCCCCAAACCTTAAGCAGTAGCTAGATGCCAAGCTTATACTCTCATCAACTTCTAAAAGACCTTTATGCCATCTATACTTTAACTGTGGCTCATTTAAGTACAGAAGGCTTTAGTAACAGAATACAAAATATTTCTCATGGTTCAGATCCTGTTTCCTCCATGGAAGTCTAATGGGATCCATCACTCGTCTGGTTGGAAGTAATAATGCAATGACAAGTTTGACCATAACATCCACTGAATGTTTTTATGAGTCAGGCATTGTGCTAAGCTCTTTACGTAAAGTATACCATGTTGCTTATTTAAGCCTATGCTGTATTTTTTAAACAATCTATAAAATATATATTATTCTCACCACCAACAGAGACTCAGAAAATCCACTTTCAAGGTTATGCTAATATGAAACATCAGCTGAATTGCAGAACTGTGTCTTTATATATATATATTATATACTTTATATATATACTTTATATATATTTTATATGCATACTTTTTATATATTTATATACTTTAATCTCTCTCTATATATATATACTCTAAATATCACCACAAAAATGCCTGTCAAGTTCACAAGGCTTGCAGTAATTTTTTCAGTGGAACTTTAGCTGTTTTCTGAGGGGTTTTACATTCTTCTTTCCCATTTTTCTTCCTTTCCATTTTTCAGCATGTATTTTAAAAATTGAGTGCAAATGTTTTGTTTAAAATACAAGCAACATAACTATGGAACAACAAGCTTACTTCAGTGGATTTTCTGTTTGTTTGGTTTTGTTTTCCCAAGTTCTGTTTGAAATCCCTTGCATGGTTCAAAACATTGTATAGTCAGCAGAGCATTTCTAATTATTGAACTTTTGAATGTTGAATTTCTCTCATGGAACACAGAAAACAATATACGTGTCATAAATAGTCATTTTCCTTCACTGGTCTATAACCCACGGGATCATTTTTTTATTTATGTTTTGTTGTAAAGGTAAGATACAGAGGGGTTGCAGTTTCATAAGTCAGGTAAAAAGTACATTTCTTTTTGAATAGTGTCACCTCTTCCCTCATTTTCTCCCAGTTTTTTCCTTCCTGACTCCCCTACCCCACGAGTGTATAGTTTATTTTTCACACTGGGTTTAGTGAGACCCTGGATCATTTATATTTGTGGGAAATTCAGAAATTTTTATTTGCATAGAAAAATACTAAGTAAGACCTTCCTTTGATATGTTTGTGCATATTTTCTTAACAATGCTTTTAATTTACAAGTATTCCTTTCCAGAAATCTTTATGGGGCATTTATTATTTATTTATTCATAGCAAGTGCGTACTATACACACTAACATGATAAATGCAAGCTGGAACAATATTGTATATTATAATTCTTCAATAAAAGAGAAACTTCCTCATCCTCTGTTTCTTCACCCTACTCCATTCAGATACTTAGATTCTGGATCTCAAAGACCACTAATAATTCTTGAGTTGGAGATTAAGAGATTGAAAGTTGTCATAATTTCTGGAAGGACTGAGAAAATTTCCACATTAAATAATTATTATTCAATTTAAAAATAGCTCTGATTTGGAAAAGCCCTGTGTTTTCTATCTGCTCAATAGTTAGGGTTTTTAATGAAACATGGTCTCTGTTCCAGACCCACGTTTTTGTTGAGAATGTCAAGATTAAGACTCAAGAAACGTTTAGT